ACATAAATTCAAGAAGCCAAGGAAGCAAAGATACTGGAAAAATAAATTTTGCAGTGATAGGCGGTTGGAACAAGTGAGAAAGCGAGGGATGCCAAAACGGTCAGTAGATTTAAAGAATCATATGACATTACTGGGAAGACGAGACACAGTCGCTCTCAAACTGTAACTAAGAATAATTGAACAATGCAGAACTTTCTCAGGTTTGTGCAGTCTCCGTGGTGTAGTGGTAAGACACTCGCCTGGCGTTCCGCGAGCGCTTTGTCATGGGTTCGTATCCTGGCCGGGGAGGATTTACTGGGCGCAAATCCTTAACTGTAGCCTCTGTTTAACGCAACAGTAAAATGTGTACTTGGTTGTAACAACGATTCTTCGCGGCAGGGGATCGTATTCCAGGGACCTGCCCGAAACGCTACGCGTACTAGTGGCTCTACAAGAATGTAACAACTTGTATATATCTCAAAAAAAAGTTTTAAATTAAGCACGATACATCCTCCTAGAAATGTTGCACACGGGTTACTCTCATTATTTACTCCATTTCACATTTGCATAAGCAAGATATTAAATATGCTTACGACCTGTCGCCTCAATAACGTCTTTAACCATTAACATGTGCCATTTAAAATTTCAGTTATGGTTAACCTAGTCCATAACAGGGCCATAGAGCTGAAGCTCAACCCTAGCAAGCATAATATAATATACACCCTTTTCCTTAATATTCAATCCTATTTCACCTCCCTCACCAAAATGCCTTTGATCCCTAGGCCAACGCCACATGGCATCTCTGCCAACTCTCTACCTGCTATCCCAACACCATACTAGACAGACAACAGCTAACAAGACCACCTTCTTTCTGACTTTTTCTCGCGATTTGACACTGTAAAATATGCAAATGTTCTGCCTACCGAGAAAAGTTTGAACCCAAGGAACCGTCCTAGCCTATCAAGGCCTATGTCCTGTCCATCCCTTAAGCATCTTTCCACCATCAAACCATCAACCATCCCTGCACAGGCAACCCCAATTACCCACCCCACACTAACAGCAGTCCATTTCACTAGCCACAAACCCACAATAACCACAGACAAAACCATGTGACTTACCATTTGAGGCTAAAGTATATCACACATTTTATGACATTTATTCACACACGCATTTAAATCACAATGACCTTCAAGTGGGTGAGTTATTAGTATTGGATGCCCGATACTGTGGATATTCAGAATTGTGTTAAATTACAGATTGTTTTGGTGTGTAGACTCAAATGTTTGTCAAATATTTACCCACGAGTTATAGCATTACTTGTGCTTTGAACTTCATTTACAAAGTTAGTATCTTGGTATGTTTATTTATAGTTTGATTACCACTTATTTATGCATCAGACATCAGTTGTGGCTTATTACATTTGATCCAATTCATATATTTTTAAATTATTTTCGATATTGCTATGTGTGACTTCCAGGATTACAGCCAATAATTTGTAAACATATGGTAGGTGAATGTCAACCACATTTCATCACAATTGTATTCTACCCTTCATATGATATATATCAATATAAGTTGTACCCTTCATATTAAGTATTAATGTCAACATGGTTAATTAATATTAATTTAAGGATATTTATTGTAATTTTGCATGAATATTATAATTTTAAATTGAATACCTTATCATCCACGTTGCTCTCATGCTGTGTTTAGTGATAAATGAATATTCTAAACTATAGATTTTTTAACCGAGATACTAAGGGAAGACACATTGAAGAAGGCTTCAGTGTTTCATAACTGCCCACTAACTTGAGGTATAGAGGTGGTGAAGTGTGACCAGCACTGGTGACCTTACAGGGAGAGCTTCGTCTATTCTAGTAATCAGAGCAGTTGACTGCGAACACCGGCGGCGACAGGTAGCTCAGCTCTTCCACAGCCTGGTCAAACACACGGTAAAATAAGATACGGAATTTTGTTTAGGAATATGATAGTCAATGGTACACAAAAAAAATGGATGTTTTAAGCAATATCTCTTTAACGGGATAATAAATTTTAAGTGTGAAAACTTGGTATTCTAAACAAAATTTTATTTTTTTTAAATATCAAGCAAAAAATTACTTTCTGTATCAAATAACTGTCAGAATAGATATTACAAATACCCGCCCGCCGAAATGCTACTGAGTCGCCCACGAGCGGTTCCCTCTAAAGTTCTCACTCTTGGGTTACAATTCTGTTCCTTATTTATTCTTCACCTTGACAGAAAGCAATAACACTGGCAAGTACAAGGCCTCTTTTTACAGTACATACTAACTCATTACACCGATTATCAATATGGGATAAGCAGCACGATAAATACTTTGAGCTGTACGCAGATACTAGGCTACAATGCGTGTGTCTTGGCGCCATTAACTGTATGTGGGAGAAAAATGATATAAGATATTTTGCCTCCCGTGACCATATGAAACAATAATGCGAAGTCATACTCATATACAGACGTCATAGAAAGCTACAGATCCCATCTCACTCGAGATTTACAATGTCAACACTTCTTGTTATCCATGAATATAGATTGAAGCGAGTCTCCGAACACACAAACGAGTTTGCAGTTTTTAACCCCATTTTAACAATACCTTGACTCCAAACCAATTGGAACCAGTGAACGGGTTGCTCTACAACTATGATAACACATATAAGCAGTCGTCCGTAACACTTACAAGCAAATTTATCAGTCTTAAAAGCTTACTTGTATGGGATTGTTTATTTGGAGATCTTCATTTTTTATTTTCTTTGGTAACAATTCAAACATCATAGTGCTAAAATTTTGGAAATATAAAACAGTGCTTTAAAAAGTCTCAATGGTGTTCCTACTGATATTAAAGCATGCCTTGGTGTGCAGTGCTCTTATTAAAAAATGATCTTGTTCTATACAGGCAACATATTATGGAATTATGAATCAAATAGGTTGATTTAACCGTCATGAACAACTTTGAATTCTTGAATCTTAGCAACAAATATGTAACTTATTTAAAGAAAGATATCACACTAACTAGAAAGATGAAGGTATGTTATGTCAGAAAATCTTAGATATAAGCAGTACATAATACAAAGAAAGCCATATAGTACAGAATGTGTGACATTATGGATTTTTTTCTTTGCCGTTTTAAAATTAATATTTGTTACTAAATTAGAAAAATTCATCTGATTACATGCGAAATTACATTGCTTGAGGAGCAGCAATCTTATTTCACATGTAATAAGGGTTGTATATAATTGGGGCGGAGGTAAGTGGCATGGAAGCCTCTCTAACTAGAGAACAACAGCCGTCATTTCCCAAGGCTGTGTGTTCTTGCCTACTGTTGTGTGTTTTAGATTCAGCTACTCTGAACAAATGTTCCAAGTAGCACGGGCTATGGTGAGCCCGAGTTCTTGCCTACTATTTTTTAGCATCTTTCTTTAAACGTTTTATCTCAGTTTTTTCATCGTTGATAGGTAGTGGTTGTCTTTATCATTAACTGAACTAACAAGTTAATTACAATACGTTTTGTTTACACATGGAGATACTCATATTTGTAATTATATATCATAGGTTAATATTAATTTGTTTCCCGTCAGGCTAATATTCTTATTTTGCTGTCAGTAGGCTAATATATAGTTTTTTGTTAGTTGGCAAATATTCGTTTTCTTTTTGTTTTTTGTCATTAGGCTGATATCCATTTTTGTTATTAGTGGATTATTCCTTGTTAACTGTCACAAGGCTAATATTAATAAGCTAATATCTATAATTTCTGCTGTTAGTAGATTAATATCACAATTTTGCTGTCATAGGCTAATGTCCACTTTTTTGTTTTTTCTGGCAGACGTTGAGAAAGCAAGCGCGCCCAGAAAGGAGTTCGGGTGTGAGGTCCCCTATGAGGCAGCCAGTTACCACACTCCTCACAACACCGACCTACCTCACAACTACACCAGTCCATCATACTACTAAGCCAGCCTAGAGCGTACCAACACGGCTTCTTGCTTCTTTGCAGCAGTGGGTCTCTGTCTGGACCCTCCCTTCTGTCATCCGGATCACACACCTGCCTCTCAGCTGTCTGCAAGTCTGCCATAGTGCCCGGGATTCACGCCAACTTTCCCTGTCTGCCTAGTCCTGATTTATGCACCAACAAGCGACCAAGTGAAACAAAAGGAGCCGTGGTGTACATAGCCTTGCTGAGTGGGACCTCCGTAGCCTGGCAACTGAACCTACCCCACCTTGACGCACCGCCGCACGCTAATTGTTTGCAGGCCACACTACCAACTCCACTTACAGCATTATTACACTGCGTCAAGCCCCAACATCGTCTGCAACACCCCACTAACCCCCCTCTCCTCCCCGCGCCAGTAACTATAACAATCTGCCAGCAGTGTCGTGACATCACCGCCACCTTCACCGTCATATTTGAGCTCAACACCTACCAAGACTAGTTGACGAGAACAACCACGAACGTTTTGCTCAGATCTTTACTCTTGTAGAAACCTATCCGCTTAGAAACCTGTTTTCTGTAATAATCCAAACATCACTGATACATCGTACTAATTAACACCACCACAGCATTTCTGTCATCCATACATCAGTATCATATTACTGCTGTCATCCAACGCTCTTCTAACGATTTCCATTCTACCAACATCATTTTGACTTGAATCATTAACATATATTGTCTTCATCCTAGTAATAAAATTATTATTTTTTCATCCAAGAAGCACCGCTATCTCATTCCTCAATTCCTTCTGTTTAATATCTGAAATACACCAACTTGACACACAGCCAGGCGGTATTTTACTGGAGTTTTCAGGTGTATCCATCCCCACGGACGGGACCCACGACCTCTCATTGCTACGGTACACCTCCCCTCACCTCTTCTATCCTTGTAGCTAGCTACGGTACTTGTTGAAACACAACCTCACCTCTCTGGCACGGCACCCCCCCCCCCATCTCTCTGAAGGACAGCAGTACTCCACCCATTGATAACTTACAGTGACCTATCTCATTGATAACTTACAGTGACAAGAATAACCTCTCATTGATAACTTACAGTGACAAGAATAACCTCTCATTGATAACTTACAGTGACAAGAATAACCTTCAGGTGATCATACATCCATCATCGTCCACTTGTCATCCATTGACATTCACTCGTCATCCATCGGCCTCGTCGCGTTGACTATTAACATATACAGCTTGTTGGCTCAGGGTCACTACATTGTAATCTTAATTAAGCTGTCATCCACCCAACCATTGTCTCACAAGTCATCCACCTGCCACTGCTTATCAAGTCATCCACCCAACCACTGCCTCATAAATCACTCACATAACCACTGTCTCACATGTCATCCACCCAACCATTGCCATTGTCTCACAAGTCATCCACCCAACCACTGCTTATCAAGTCATCCACCCAATGACTGCTTAACAAGTCATCCACCCAACCACTGTTTCACAAGTCATCCACCCAACCACTGTTTTACAAGTCATCCACCCTCCACTACTTATCAAGTCATCCACCCAACCACTGTTTCACAAGTCATCCATCCAGCCACTGCTTAGCAAGTCATCCACCCAACCATCGTCTGCAAGTCATCCACAACTTAATTCATTTCCAAATAAGTCATCAACCCAACAAGTCATTCACCCAACGAATCATCCACTCAACAAATCATCTACCCAACAAGTCATCCACCCAACCAAGTCACCCACCAGACAAGTTATCCACTCAATAAGTCATCTACACGTCAATTCATCCACCCAACAACTCATCCACTCAACAAATCATCCACCCAGTAGGTCATCTACCCAACAAGTCACCCACCTAAGAAGTCATCCACTCATCAATTCATCCACCAACAACTCATCAACCCATCAAGTCATCCACCCAAGTCATCCATCTAACAAATCATCTACTCATCAAGTCATCCACTCAACACGTTATTCACCCAATAAGTCATTCACCCATTGTCATCCACTCAAGAAGTCATCCTTCCAATAAGTCAACACATTACGTCATCCACCCAATAAACCATCCACTCAAGTCATCCACCCAATAAGTCGACTACCCATTAACTCATCCACCCAACAAGTCATCCACCTAATAAGTCATCAACCCATCAAGTCATCCAGCCACCACATCATCCACCCATAAAGTCACCCACTCAGCAACTGATCCACTCAGAAACTCCCCAACCCAATTAGACATCCACCTACCAACTCATCCACCCAAGAAGTCATTCACTTTCAAGTCGACCATCCATCAAGTCATCCCCTCCATAAGTCATCCATTTAATAAGTAATCCACTCAACTAGACATCCACTCATCAATTCATCCACCCAACAAATCATCCACCTATTAAGTCATCCTCAACAAGTCACCCATCCAACCACTACTTAGCAAGTCATCCAATCACCAAGTCACCCACACATCAAGTCAACCACCAATCAAATCATCCACCAATCAAATCATCCACCCAACAAGTCATCCACTCAACAACTCACCCACCCATCAAGTCATCCACCAATCAAATCATCCACCAATCAAATCATCCACCCAACAAGTCATCCACCCATCAAATCATCCGCGCATTAAGTCATCCACCATCAGGTCATCCACTCAAGTCATCTATCCATCACATCATCCACTCAAGTCATCTATCCATCAAATCATCCACTCAACAAGTTATCCACCACACCACCCCAACTACTGTTGCCTCACATTATTCCTGCAAGACCATAACCTGGAGGTGATCATCCCATATACGAGATAATCCTGTTACCGGCGCCAGGCCCCCTCTTCCTCCTGCTGGCTTCACTCACCTCTGTTACTAACTGTTCCACTGTTCCCTAATAATATCGCCTTGCTATTCCACTATACCATCGCAACACCGCCTAGCTGTTCCACCGTATCCTATCAACATTCCGTGCAACTGTACCCTAGCAACACTTGTCTCTCTGGCCCCTGTAGCCTAGCAGCACCGTCTTTCTATTGCACTGTAGCCTAGTAACAGCACCGAGCTGTCACCTCAAACTTGTCCTCGGTGGTGACTGAAGGGCCTGGTCATCCCTGAACCACCTGGAACACTACACAACATCTCGAGACTACCCCCAGCAAACACAAAAAAATAATCTTGTGTTCCCACCAGTCTTAACTCCACCACTCATGTTTCCCGACATGCACTTCCCTTGAATACCAAGGCGGGGAACACCGGGGAACACCTCTCAAACATGACGGCGTCAGGCTTGGCCAAGAGTTAGCTGTCGCTAGGTGGACGGTGAGATAGTCCTGGCAACAATAGTTAAAAGAACCCCCGCGTCCTTTGGTTTTATTCCCCACCACGAAACCTTTACGCAGCCTCGCCGCTCCAGCAGCGCTAACATTGCACCACCCTCCACATTACGCTCCCAGAGTTCAAAGCTGCACGGCGCCGGCTGGAAGACCTCACTCTCCATACATTTTAGACCGCTTCTTACTCAAGAACAACGACGGGCCGCACGACTGGGGGCAGTTTGAGGTACTGAATGAGCAGACTTATTGAGACGCAGCACGAGTCGCACCTCCACACCACGGCACACCGAGGCTCGCCACAGGATAATCATCGCACGGGCCAAGAGTCTGAACCGTAATTATTGCCCAAGAAGGCTGCCGCTCTTCAACAAACAGCCATACTGGCTCGGGGACGACAACGGAGCAGTGCGGGCAGTTACCACACGCCTCTAACAACACAACCTGCCAAACAAGAGTGTTTATATATCACGCAAGCGGGTATAACATTATAGCATAGACAGTGACAAAGGCAATTCCCTTCAGCAAAGTAGCAGGCTGGCAAGCATAAAACGGAAAGTATTTGGCTTTACTTCAAGGTATGACGCATATAGCGGTCAGTGAATGATGTCTGGTTGGTTCCATCGCGCTGGGGTGAGTTGTCAAGCTCAGGTCACCCTCCGGGACGCTGACCCTCGCCCTGGCTCAGGCCTTGACCTCCATCGCTGGCAACTTTCAGTACTGTCAAGGATGTAATTACCGCCAAGTATTACCATCTAGTTACTCAGTATTTCATTCAGTATTAAATTAATCCAAGTGCCAAAATAATATTCATGAATGCTCGGAGACGAAAAAAGAATGAATTTATTCTAAAAATCAAGAAAATGTCTTATTTAAGCAAACATTTTGATAATTAGTAAAAACAATTATTTACGAAAATATAAACAATTTGCACGTTGTTGTTAACAGTATTAATAGTCTTCCTGTTTAATCTGATAAGTGTTGA